AAGAGCAATTTGCTGCATGGCCATGAAGAGAGAGAGAATAAATAGTTTGTCATAAATTTCGTAATCATTATTTGCCAAACCATTTAATTGTGGACTAAAATTGAGAAATAAAGGTCAAACTATTGGGAATCTTTACTTTTCGTTTTTTTATTTTATCAGTGATCATATCTTTCGTTAAGTTTATTCTGACCGGAAAGAAAGACTGGAAGGCAAAGATATAAATCATTTGGCTAAATGGTTTTCTTTGAATTTTATCATTGAAATGGGATTTATCACTGGAGATAAACTATCAGTGTGAATTTGGGAGAACCGATGAACTAAACTTCTAGATTAAATGGAAAATGCGGTTGCATTCAGGGAATTGAATGGAAATCAATTTAGTTTAATGAAGTCACCATAGCTATTAGAAATTGAGAAAAGAGCAACTGAATACTCACAAGAACTCTAATTGCAAATTTTTTATTTGTAAACATGCGTCGACCCTGCAAAAAATCTTCAGATTTTTTATAATTGCTTGAAGTGTCTCTAAGCTTTTTTAAGGAAGTTTTTCCTAACAATTTAATAGGTATCGGTCGGTTTTGTTGGCAGGGGTCGTTTATTAAAATATATTTTTACTTCTGTTGTGATTATTCAAAATGTTGACCCTTTATGGGGGAGGAATCAAGGCACCAATAATGCCTATTTCACATCGGTTTTAAATCTGATATAATCCGCACTAACACATTTCTATGTGTGAAGTTTGAAAAAAGTTGGGTGCTTTTTATTTTGCTCTCTTTGGGCGTTTTGTTGTTCAAAGTCTTGAACCCTATGTGGGGGAGGTTCCAGAAGAAGTAGTCCGTTCTTTACTATCTTTATTACAGATCTTATGTTAATGGAAATATTGAAATGTATCATGTCTGAATGCAATCGGATGTTAATTTCGCTTTTTATGAGCTTCATGGATATTCGAAATGTTGACGCTTTCTGAGGGAGGTACCAGAATGAGTAGACCGATATATCCCATTTTCATAGCAGATTTTGTCTTGATAGAAATAGTGGGATGTGTGAAATATAAAGGGAACCGAATGCTAGTTTCGGATTTTATAATCGTTTTGGTTATTCAAAATTTTGACCCCCTCGGGGGGAGGTACCAGAAGAAGTGGTGCGATATCTACCATCTTTACAAGAGATCTTGTGTTGATGGAAATATTGAGATGTACCAAGTCTGAATGCAATCGGATGTTAATTTCGAGTTTTATGAGTTTCATGTCTATTCAAAATTTTCACCCTTTGTGGAGAAGGTACCACAAAAGGTAGACCATTATATCCAATTTTTACACCAGACCTTGAGTTAATAAAAATACTGTGATGTGTTTAATTTGAAGACAATCGGACTCTTACATCACGTTTTATAAGAGTTATAACGATTCAAAATTTTGACCCGTTGTGGGGGAGATACTTGATGGAGCGGACCGATATTGTCTATTTTCGCACCTGACCTAGAATTGATGCAAATATTAGGATTTGCAAAGTCGAATTATGCCTTCTCTTTCTGTGCAATATTTTTTTTTTAAATTTCGAACTTGTGTGGGTTAAGTAACAAAAGGAGTGGACCAATATTGTCCATATCCGAACTCGATCTAAATTTGTTAATAATATTACGATGTGCCAAGTTCGGACCCAATCGGACATCGCTAGATCCACTCTAAATGTCCTGAAACGGATTTGGTCCAAAGAGATCTAGGGTCTAAAAGCGTTATTTCGACTAGGCTCGTTTTGACCGTATCAAAGCCATATGACTGAGGGCATATAAAAATCAAAGAAGACAAGGAGGTGATCTCATAGAAGACCTGTTGGAAGTCCAAAAGGTCTATTTATAGAAGTCCAGAAGGTCTTCCCATAGAGGAGGCTTTCTTATAAAAGTCCAGAAGTTTTCATATATGAGAAGACTTTTAGAGAAGACCAAAAGATTTTCACACAAAAGTATAGAGGCCAAAACATAGAAGATTACAAGAACTTCTCACAGAAGGTCTTTTCATAAAAACAAAAAATTATTTTTCTAGAAGAACGAAAGGTCTTTTTTAATAAATGAATAAGCTTTTCTCATGGCAGACCCACTTCTCGCAGAATTCCAGAATGTTTTTCACCAAGAACGTCCGTTCTAGAAGAACGGAAGGTCTTTTTTAATAAATTAAGAAGATCTTCTTCATGGGAGACTCAGCATCATTCTATAGAAGACCAGAAGGTCTTCTCACAGGAGACAATAAGTTCTTTATATAGAAGACCGGTATGTCATAATTCCGTTTCTTGTAAACAAACCGATCTACCTTATTAATATAACAATTTTTCATATTTAATAACTTATTTTGGTGATAACGAAAACAAAATTGGAATTTCATCAGCTTCAAGTTCAACGAAATGGTAAAGAATCGTAAAAAATGCACGTCGAGTGGGGCCATAAAAATTTGCTATAAAATTAAGAATGTCTCTGAACTTGTGGCACGTGTGCTCCTTTAATAATTTTTATGGATTAACAAAATAAATTTGAAAAAAAAAAGAAATATTAAAATAAAAATCAATAAAATGAGATGGATGCGTGTTGACCTTATGGGAAGTTCAGACAACTTTCTCAAAATTCCAAAATATTCTTTTCTTTATTTTGGCAATTTACAAAAAAAAAAAAAAAAAAAATAATAATATCCGTTAAAAATTCTGTTAAAATCTTAAAAATACCGAATGTAGCTGTTATACACTGAGAGAAAAATGCTTCATTGGATCAATGAAACATTTTCATAAGAATTTTTTCATTCATCCAATGAAAATTTTCATTAATAGAATGAAACTTCATAGATCCAATGCAAAAGTTGCATTGATCCAATGAAGGTGTTATGAAGGCTTCATAAAAAAAAATCATAACAATAATTTCATTGGTTGAATGCAATATTTCATAGGTTAAATGAAATTGCTTCATAAAATTGCTTTCATTTTTATGAAACTTTAATGAAGGTTTTCATAACCCATTTTCATAAAAGATGTTCATTGGTCGAATGAAAAGTTGCATACATGTTTTGAAATAGCTTCATTAAATTGCATTATTTCTTATGAAACTGCATTGAAATTTTTCGTCCACAATATTCATAGAGAATGTTCATAGGCTGAATGAACCGTTTCACATTGTTAATGAGATGGCTTCATAAATAAATGGACATGCTGTGCTTTGCTTTTTACGTTTGGTCAAATCTCTCTAAACATTAGTTCTAGCTTTTTCCTTAATAATGTTCGTTAGAAGCCTAAATATACAAAAACACTCTTGTTACGAGAAACAAAATACACAAGACTGAACGTGACTGAAACTGCACTAAGAAGAAAATACAGTTGAACCTCGATTATCTGACATAGTTCCTGTTTGATTTATAATGAATAATGGAAAGCCTTTCATGGATGAAATTTTTCAGTTTATAAAAATATATTTTATTTAATTTCTGAGTTAAAAAATAATATTGGCGGGTATGTTTTATGTATTAAACAAACAAGCGACGTTTATATTAAATATAATTTTTAAATATCGCATACTCGAGTGTCAACTGTAGTTTGGTTATTCAGTAAAGCGTGTGTGTGTGTATGGGAGTGTACCAACATAGAGTTTGATTCAGTGTTGATAACTTAGCCTTATTCTAACTATATTTCGCGTTTATTTAATTTAAGTTGACCAAAGATTTATACAATTATATTTATTGTTGCTCTGATATATTTTGTGTACACTTGAAAAAGAAAAAATATAATCGCAATAAAATCGAAAAGTGATCCGGAACTTGTGACAGCTACAGACGAAGTAATAAACATGTTTGCATCTTTAACCATTTTTTATGTTTTTTTAATATTTATGTATTGCTCCGTTCTGTATTTATCAAACCTCTGAGACATTGAAACGATATATTGTTTATCGTATGTTTTATCGTTTTGAAGCCAAATCGTACAGGCCTTTTCTCACCAAACAATTAATCTTTCAATGTTATGTCAAATAATTATCAATAAATTGAAATCATTTGACATTTTCCGTTTGAGCCGTTTGAGACTATATTTGTGGAATCGTACCTCGAAACTTGCAAAACAATAACATTTTCAAAGGATTTTGCCCTTAGGCAATTATTATTTAATTTGCTTTTATTTTATTTTTAATATACTATAAATAAACAAACAGTTTACGTAAGTGTACAGACCTATATCTGGTTTCTTAAAAACATTAATTATAAGTACATTTATTATAAGTATTTTAATAATTCGCAATGTATTTATGTGTATTGTATACTTGTGTTTTAAATAAAGCTTCACTCCATTAGTTTTTAATAGAACACAAAACATTTTTAATAATAACAAATGTCGTCTATATTTGTTTCGAAAAAGCGGATTGGTATTCGTTCTATATAAAAAAAGTTTATATTTTGACGCGTTTTTTATTCTGAAAAGTTTGCATCACATTTAATGTGTACTCATGAACTTGTTTGCAAACTATGGAAGCAACAACTACACACACACATATCTCTTTCATCTGAACAACTCCACTAACAAAATAGAGTAACGATCAATTATAACGGTATATTTTTGTTTGTCACATATTTTTGGTTCAGCGAAGTGAAATAGAAAATTGCTTATTCATTTCATTGTGGTTTTCAATCGGAGAACATTTAAAAGTGAGTTTGTGAATTAAATAAAAATAAAAGAAATACATACTTCAAACAAAATAAAAAACAGTGGTAAATAACACAAAATAAAATGATTTGCTTTATGTGTAAAAAAAGTTTTGTGACAAAAAACATTTCTTCAAACACCTTCGGGGTGATCATTTTCTGAAATCTACTGATTTATACAAGTGTTGTGGTCAAAATTATGAATATAGGTCTTTTCAAAGACATATAGCAAAACGGCATAACAGCAGTTTTTCTCCCCAAGAACAAAAAAATCAAATAAGAGACGCGGGTTTTAACAAGTGTGAAACAAATTGAAGAAATAGAAGCAGACATTCCGGTTATTCTTGACAATCAATGCGAACAAAATATTGACGTTTCTCCAACTCCTTCAAACTATTTGCAGCCTGAATCGGAAGAAAAGAAATTTGAAAGGGTTAGCGAGAACGTTATTAAATTCCTAACAAGTATGCACTCAAACTATAATTTTTCAAGAAAAGATGTTACTTTTATTTATGGTAATGTCATTGATGCAGTCGTTAACCCGTTTTTGGAAGTAATAAATGCCTTTGCAAAAGACTTAGATAATAATTTGTCCACAAAATTATCAATATTACTATCAAAATATTCTGCAATTTTAGAAAAGCTTAAAACGGAGTATTTGCTTTCCGAAAAACTAAAAGAGATTAATCTTCTTCAAGGTCTAAAAGAAACGGTGATTGATCAAAGAGAAACACTAGCTCATACTAAAGGTAAGTTGGTCCACTCAAATTTGACAACAAAAATTACAACAATGCCTATGGCATTTATGTTCAAAAAAATTCTAGAAAAAAATAAAAATTTTTACCAAATGCGGTCGATTTGTCATGATCTTGAGAACTCCAATGAATTTCAAAATATTATTCAGGGACCACTGTGGCAAAAAAAGGTTAGCCGGTATCCCGGTAAACTATTATATTCCTTATAACTTTTACTCCGACGATATCGAGATTAATAACCCATTAGGTTCCCACGCCACTACCCATTCAATCTGCAATTTATACTTTTCTTTTCCTACACTACCTAACGCCACAAAATTGAACAATATTTTTTTCCTAGGAAGCATTAAAAACAAAGACATACAAAAATTCGGGAATAAAAAGTGTCTTGCATCAGTAGTTGAACAAATGGCATTTTTAGAAACCGAAGGTTTGGATATAGAGATGTCAGACGGTGCTACATTTCATGTTTATTTTATACCTCTTTTAATTCTGGGCGACAATTTGGGTTTGAATAGTATTCTTGGGTTCATAAAAAATTTCAACGGAAAGTTTTGCCGTTTTTGTGAGATTGATTATCAATCTAGTCAGAAATCATGTTCGGCCAATCCGGAGCTCAGGCGGGACTACGGTAAATATAACAGCGCATTAGAAATTACTGATTCAAAGAAAACCGGAATCATTGAAAAATGTGAATTCAACAAAATTCCAAGCTTTCATGTAATTGACAATATAAGCGTAGACGCAATGCATGATGTCTTGGAGGGCGTATGCCACTATGACATGACAAATGTCATATTGTATTTGGTTACAACCAAAAAATACTTTTCACTTGAAGAATTAAATAAACGTAAACGATGCTTTGAGTATGGAGAGCTTGAAATTGGTAATTTTTCACCAGATATTACTAAGCTACATTTGGAAAAAAAGCATTTAAAAATGTCTGCTCGTGAAATGCTAACTTTTGTTATATATTTTCCCATTATGGTAGGCGATTTCGTGCCACGTGACGATGAAGTTTGGCAGCTCGTACTAACATTAATTGAAATAGTAGATACTATATTGTCTTTTCGGGTAAACGCCTTCATGATAAATTCTTTGGAAAGTAATATAAAAAGACATAATAAAATGTATCTCAAATTATTTAATGATAAACTTAAACCTAAGTTTCATATACTGACGCATTATCCTGAAGTTATAAGGGCTTGCGGCCCAGTACGAAATTTTTGGTGTTTTCCGTATGAGGCAAAACATAGGAGCTTTAAATTGTATGCTCACGCAATCACGTCTAGAAAAAATATTTCTGTTTCCATGGCAAAAAAATATCAATTTGTGTTTGCAGATTTTTTGTTAGAAAAAACTGAGATTCCGGACATTATTTGCTCCAATATCAGCGAGTGTCAAGATTATTTGCTGGACGTTATAAGCCTCAAATTAAAAGTTGCAAAAAATACTATAAAGACTTTTGAAAAAGTTGTTTATAAAAATATCACATACAAAAGTTCGTATTTTGTAGCAACAAAAAAAGATGATGTATACAAAATTGTCAACATCGTTGTTTCACAACTCACAGTTTATTTGGTTTGTCAACAAGTTCTAAACAGTACGTATTTGAAACACTACACTGCATTTGAAATTATTCCAAATGATAAAGGAGAATATTCCGTTTTGAAGCTTGACGAATTAATTGGACCACCGGCCACATTGATTAATACCGCTAAGGGAAAATTTATGCTTCGTTTCAAAGAAACAATTTAAAAATACCTTTTTCCATGCTAAACAATTTATTTTTAGTTTCAAAATGTCTGAAACAAACTCGGAGACTTTGAGCTGTGGGGAAGAAGATGCTTTGAAAAACTTACTTATAACATGGGGTATAGAAGACAAATTGGACATACTCATACGTAAGATTTAACTTATATGCTGAACCTATATAATTAGTTTTTTGTGCTATAATAACGTTAACTTCTTATAGGTGAACATATTTCTATTGATATTTTGAAAATACTAACTGAGGAACATGTAAAAGAGCTGACACAGAATTGGAGAATTGGAGACAAGGCCCAGTTCATTCACCATTTCACAAAGTGGAGACATGATATTAACCATCCATTTTGGGCAGAATGTTCAAGTCCTCTAGTTTTTCCCAAAAAAGCCGATTCGTGTAACTCATCTGATACGGAAGAAGTCGATAACGTCAATATGTTGGAGATATTACAAGGTAATAAAAATGGGGAACTGTAGCACACGTTTACGAAAAAAACAAGTTTCTCACAGATGAACTAAGAGTTTTCATTATAAACATTGCTGCCCAGCATTTTGCAAGAAAAGACGCACCAATGACTCTTCAAGCAAGCTACAAACTCGAAACGCAAATATTGTCTCTATTTCCGACTGAAAAACTTGAATTCTATCGAACAGAACGTAGAGGAAAAATTTATGTAAAATCCCAAAATCTTAAAAAACAAAGCAAGCAGATTTTTATGCTGGAAAACGAATCACCTACGGCGTCAAAAAAGGCTAAAATTACTTTTGGTAGGAAATGTGGAATTTGTGGTTTAGTAATGGTTTTTAATTAATTTGTATTTTCAGTACCTGAGGAGAATGGAGAGGATTTGGTGCAAGTTCTTAAATATGACAAGCTTTCAGCTGAAGAGTTTGAAACAAAGTGGATTTCTTGTGCCAACTATAGACTTAATCAAGTAATTAACGAATGCAGTAGCCTACGAGAGATTCTTAAAAAGTGGCCTGAATATAAATCACATTATAAGTTGGTGAGTATATATATCAAATAGTAAACTTTTGATAATTTTAGCGTAATTCTACAAAAACTGTTTTAAATTCAGATTGATATTGACTTCTCAATAATGCATAAATCGCACAACAAAATGCTCAACTGGGACCAAAAAATCCTAAAGTTGTTTAACTTTTTGAAAAAATCTAAGCAACTTAAATGTCATGGTGAGTCAAAAATGTTAGAAACTCTCCAGGACGAAGATTTGGAAAAAGGTAAGAGTCTTCAAGTCAAGCTCAACAAATCGATCAAACCTAATTTAACGTTATTATTTGCAGATCGAGGCACATTTGCAGTGAAAACCCTGTGGATTTTACATTATGTTCTTTTCCCGACTGGGCGGCAAGTTCGAAAAACAATTCTCGGAAAGAAAGAAATATCTCGCTATACAATAAAGGACTCCCAGAAGACGTTTTTGTTTTTGGGAAAGACTTTGCAAGAATTACACGACCATATTGATTTTTGTTAAAGATGAAAGAACATATTCAGCCTTTTATATTGGGAATCGGAAGTCTGGACGATATACATGAAATTTTTGTTTATTTTGATGGTGACCTCATACGGTTTCCTAATTTTCTTCGCTCTTTGGATATTTGTTTTAAAATGTTCCATTTATTTAATTTACAATATCCCACAGCATCTGAAACATTTTGGATCTTTTTGGAAAACTACTTTTTTGAAATAAGTTCATGCTCAAAGAAAAAGTCAAAGGTAAGCATCCTCTTGGATGATTTAGAGAAACAATCTGAGTAATTGGTTTCAATTTAATAAGTTATAAATTCTCAGATATTTAAAACACTAAATTAAATAATAATTAAGCTATTTTTATATTGATATCTTCATATCAATTAAAAATAAGTTCGAAAATTAGATTTATGCAAATAACAAACGTTCCTAAATTCCGCAGATTAAAAACTGACTGTGTATTTGAATTACCTCAAGTAATTACAAATAAAGACTTATAGACTATATAAGTAAAAAAAGTTATAGTATTTTATAAGAACTTGTATGCTAAAAATATATTAAATATATTACTGTTAAAAACAAATCAAAATGGACTGAAAAATGAATTATAACTAAGTAGAATTGTTTACAAAATATGATATGTAAGAAGAAACATGAACTTTTGTAACACTGATTAAATAATATTTACAAAATTAATTTTTAAAAACCGCTTGCAAAACAAGTCACAATATGAATTTATTATTTTTGAGTTTAACATAGATATCTAAGACCTCTTTTGTTTGTAAATGAATTAACAAAGATACGTTTTTACAAAATAAAGAAAAATAAAAAAATAAGTATGTGAATATATTCTTGTCTAAATGGTAAATAATGCCTGAACATATTCACACAACAAATGAAACCCGTTCATAAAAAATGAACAATTTCATAAAATCAAAGAAACCCTTTCATTATTTAAATGTACACCATTCATTTAGCATATGAAGGGGTTTCATTTGTTGTATTAATGTTTCATTTGTTGTATGAATATGTTTCATTCAATCTATGAACACATTTCATTGGATTTATGAAGACATTTTATTCTATTCATGAATAAATTTCATTATATCTATGAAGATGTTGCATTGAATTAACGATTATGTTTCATAGAATAAATGAAAGCTTCATTAAATCAATGAATTTATTTCATTACATCAATGAACATGTTTCATTGGGTTAATGACTTTGTCGTTAGTCCAATGAAACTTTTTCAATATATGTGTGAATATGATTCATTCGACGAATGCAACTATACATTAAATATGTGAAGATATTTCATATATTCTATGAACTTGTTTCAATACATCTATGAATGGCTGTCATTAATCTAATGCAATATTTCATCCATCCAATGATGGAAACGTTTCATTAAATAAATGTTTTCGAATCATTCATCCAATGAAATGTTTCTTTGGTCTTTTTTTAATGAAACATTTCATTGGGCCAATGCAGAAATTCATTATATTGATGCAGAAATTTCTCTCAGTGTATTAGGTTCTATACGATGACGTGGACCTGCATAGGCAACTTTTGTCAAAAGCTATTACAATATTCAAATGCGAAACTTTAAAAACAAATTTGTTTATAATGTAGATAAAATCATCAAAATGCCGAATATAGGGAGGTACCATGGGGGTTATAAAACATGGACCTGCACAGACAATTTTCTAGCATAGGCTGTAGTATTTATTACGAACTTCAAATACAACATTTGAAATAATTCCGGTACATAATGTCGCTAAAATCATCAAAATACCGAATATCGGGAGGTACCGTTATATGGGGGCTATACGAAGACGTGGACCCGGACAGGCAATTTTCTGTCATAGGCTGTAGTATTCATTACGAACTTCAAATACCAAATTTTAGACAATTCCGGTGAATAATGTCGCTAAAATCATCAAAATACCGAATATCGGGAGGTTCCGTTTTATGGAGGCTATACGAAGACGTGGACCTACACGACCCATTTTCTGTTTTATGCTGTAGTATTTATTACGAACTTCAAATACCGAATTTGAAACAATTCCGGTAAATAATGTCGCTAAAATCATAAAAATACCGAATATCGGGAGGTACCGTTATATGGGAGCTATACGAGGACGTGGACATGCACAGACAATTTTCTGTCATAGGCTGTAGTATTCATTACGAACTTCAAATACTAAATTTGAAATAGTTCCGGTAAATAATGTCTCTAAAATCATCAAAATACCGAATATCGGGAGGTATTGTTATATGGGGGCTATACGAAGACGTGGACATACATGGCTCATTTTCTGTCTTAAGCCGTAGTATCTGTTACGAACTTTAAATACCAAATTTGAGACAATTCCGGTGAATAATGTCGCTAAAATCATCAAAATACCGAATATCGGGAGGCACCGTTATATGGGGGCTATACGAAGACGTGGACCTACATGGCCCATTTTCAATACCAGAAGTCCTGCAAATATAATATACATTTAAGTAAAATTTTATCAACCTAATTCATTTCGTTCGGAAGCTAGAGTGATTTACTCAGACGGACTGGCGGATAGACGGACATCGCTAAATCGACATAGAATTTAATGCTGATCAAGAATATATACTTTATGGGTTCTAAAATGTATATTTCGAGGTGTTACAAACGGAATGACAATCCGCATATACCCTCCATACTATGGTGGAGGGTATAAAAAAATAATAATTTCCCTAATTCCTTATTTGACAGGCAATGTCACTACCATTTCAACGACAGAAGATGAAATCAACCCTACCCCTGGCACCGGACATCAACAATTTATCATTGACTTTGAAAATAGCCCTTATTTTACACTCTCTATTTATTCACGAGAAAAGACAACAACACCAACAAATGGAAATTGAACCTGTTTCAATGGCAATGGTAAATAATTACCCGGTTTATTGTGACACATCACAGTCACTTGGAGAAAATGCTTAGTTAGTCATGTCGATGTCCTTGCATGCGAGACACATTTTTTTCTTTCCAAAACACTTAAAGCCAAGGAGTGATACCACAACAGGTACAGCTGTAATTAGTTTAACCCTTTTCGGCTATGTTGGTATTTTCTGTAACAACAAGCAAAACCCTTTTTCCACTTTCACTTGTTTTTTTCTGCCAAAGACAACAACAAAGGACATGCAATGACAAATGACCTCAAGAAAAAAACTAAACAGCCAAAAAAAAAAAACGAAAAAACATTTTAGAAATTGGTTTTTTACATTTCAAAAAAAAAAAGATCTACTTGCCTTAGAGAGTAAGAAAGAGAGAGACCCAATTTCCTACCTCTCAAAAACACTTAGCGCCGCTCGGTTTCTGTTGAAAACAATATTATTTTTTGGCAATTAAGTGGTGGCGCCTCCATTCAACAATGCTGGAAACAATGGCGCAATTGTTATGCCATTGTCTGGCCCAGACGGCCATCTATTGCCATACAAATGACCTTCACGACAATGGCACGGCATGACACCTCTCTAACGTCCCTACCACAATCAGCTCTCTTTCTCTCCGCGTTTTGTTGTTGCCAACGGAACTTGTTCGAGCTGCTGCTGCTGCTGCCGATGTTTGTCCAATAAGTCGAAGTGCGTCTGAAGCGACCTGCTACAACACACACGACAATAAAGTAATTACCTTAAGTACCTACCTCTCTGCAAAACATCATAAAATTCACAAAACACTAATGGATAATTGTTGGAAAGAGATGGCAATATTTTAACGTGAGTAAGAAGGATATGAAGAGCGTAAGGAAAACATTGCTGGAAGAAGATAATTTAGCAGAGGAAACTCTTATCAAATACTTGAAAATTATGAAAAACTCTGCGGGTTGCCAAAATGAGAATAAGAAGAAGACAAGTGTCTCCGGCAAGTGATGTTGATGGCGGAGAACCGGGTAGTCGAATACAAAGGTAAAATATAACACTTAGAGCAACTTTTAGAGATATTTAATAGGTCTTCTTTTAGAAGGACATAAGAAGTAGCCTTTTTTCATAGAAGAAGATCCGGAGGTCTTCTCAGAGAGAAAACGAAGATTCGGAGGTCTTCTTATAGTAGACCCAGAGACCTTCTCACATAAGACTTGCAGATCTTTTCGTAGACCTGGATTTCTTTTCTCATAGAAGACTTCTAGGTCTTTTCACAGAGAAAACTTGGAGGCCTCGTCTCAGAGAAGACTCTGGTGTCTTCTCTCAGAGAAGACTCAGGTGTGTTCTCTCAGAAAAGACGCAGATTTCTTCTCTTAGGGAAGACTCGGTAGTCTTCTCATGGAAGGCATAGAGGTCTTCTCATAGAAGAGCTGGAGGTCTTCTCATAGAGGAGCTGGAGGTCTTCTCATAGAAGAGGTGGATGTCATCTCATAGAAGAGCTGGAGGTCCTCTCATAGAAGACCAGAGGAAGGTCTTCTCATAGAAGACCAGAAGAAGGTCATCTCATAGAAGAGCAGAGGAAGGTCTTCTCATAGAAGACCAGAGGAAGGTCTTCTCATAGAAGACCAGAGGAGGATCTGCTCATAGAAAACCAGAGGAAGGTCTTCTCATAGAAGACCAGAAGAAGGTATTCTCATAGAAGACCAGAAGCTGGTTTTCCCTCAGACGACCAGAATGTGGTCTTCTCATAGAAGACCAGAAGCTGGTTTTCCCTCAGACGACCAGAATGTGGTCTTCTCATAGAAGACCAGAATGTGGTCTTCTCATAGAAGACCAGAGGAAGGTCTTCTCATAGAAGACCAGAGGAAGGTCTTCTCATAGAAGACCAGAGGAGGATCTGCTCATAGAAAACCAGAGGAAGGTCTTCTCATAGAAGACCAGAAGAAGGTATTCTCATAGAAGACCAGAAGCTGGTTTTCCCTCAGACGACCAGAATGCGGTCTTCTCATAGAAGACCAGAGGTGGTCTTCTCATGGAATACCAGAGGAAGGTCTTCTCATAGAATACCTAGAGGTCTTCGCATAGAAGACCAGAAGGCCTTGTTTCAGACGACAAGAGGGCAATGTTCTCTCAGACGATCAGAATGTGTTCGTCTCTCAAAAGACCAGAGGGTCATCTTCTCTCAGAAGATCAGAAGGTAGTCTTCTCTCTGTAAACCAAAATGTGGTCATCTCTCAGACGACAAGAGGATCATCTTCTCTCAGAAGACCAGAAGGTGGTCTTCTCTCAGAAGAAGGTGGTCTTCTCTCAGAAGAAGGTGGTCTCCTCTCAAAATACCAGAAGGATGTCTTCTCTCAGAAGACTAGAAGGTGATCTTCTCTCAGAAGACTAGAAGGTGGTCTTCTCTCAGAAGATTAGAGGGTGGTCTTCTCTCAGAAGATCAGAGGGTGGTTTTCTCTCAGAAGACCAGAGCACGGTCTTTCTGCAAAAGACTAGAAGGTGGTCTTCTCTTAGAGGACCAGAAGTTTGTCTGCTTTTCCCACAAAAGACAACAAGGTTGTCTTCTCACAGAAGATTATTGTCCGACAAAAGACAAGAGGTTTGTCTTCACCAGAAAGTGTCTTTCTCATAGGAGGAGGTTTTCTCACAGGATGGGTCTCTTCATTCAAGCTAGGGTACATGATCTTCTCAGGAGAGTAGGTCTTCTCATGTAAGGCCTCTCAGGGAAGACCTCTTTTAAAACACCTCTTTTTTGTCTTCCGTCTTCCTGAAGGCCACGGCTTTAAAGAAGGTCAATTACTTCTGTTGAATTCTCCAACCGATTATTCGGTTACAAATCATTTCAACACTAATTCACAACACCAGTCTTGTGTTCGAAAAAATCTCAGTGCCTATTTCGTAATGATTCTGAAAAATTTGTGTCTACAAGGTTGTTGTTTTATTTTCGGTCATTTAGGAGTA